CAAACACCCTGTTCCTGACCCCATCCTTCCCTTGGGCCCCCAAACACGCTCCTGCCACATCCTTACTTTCCCTGGAAGCCGTAGTAGCTCCCCAGGAGCTGCTTGTACTCCTCGTGGGCGCAGAACTGGATGGCGGCGTAGGGGATCACGCGGACCATGGTGGCCGAGTTCCCCCTCCAGAGGCTCCAGAAGCCCTCGTTGAGGTAGGTGCGGTAGATCAGCCTGTAAGCCTCCTGCAGGACACGGGGAGAGCAGGGGGTTACCCGAAAAATCCCGGGGGAAGAGGCGATTGTCACAGAATCACAGAATCAGCTGGGTTGGAAGGGACCCCCGAGATCATCAAGTCCAACCCTTGATCCAACCCCGCCGTGGTTCCCAGCCCATGGCACTGATGCCACATCCAGTCTCAGCTTAAAAACCTCCAGGGACGGAGAATCCACCACTTCCCTGGGCAGCCCATTCCAATGGCTGATCACCCTCTCTGCAAAGAAATTCTTCCTAACATCCAACCTAAACCTCCCCTGGCACAGCTGAAGACCCTGAGCCCTCTTGTCCTACTGCTGCTTCCTGGGAAAAGAGACCAACCCCCCCCTGGCTCCCCCCTCCTGTCAGGGAGTTGCAGAGAGTGAGGAGGTCTCCCCTGAGCCTCCTCTTCTCCAGGCTGAACAGCCCCAGCTCCCTCAGCCTCTCCTCACAGCACTTGTGCTCCAGTCCCTTCCCCAGCCTCGTTGCTCTCCTCTGGACCTGCTCCAGGACCTCAATGTCCTTCCTGAGCTGAGGGCCCAGAACTGGACACAGCACTCCAGGGGTGGCCTCACCAGCGCCGAGTCCAGGGCAAGAATCACTTCCTTGGACCTGTTGGCCACACTGTTCCTGAGCCAGGCCAGGATCCATTGGCCCTCTTGGCCACCTGGGCACACTCTGGCTCCTGTTCAGCTTCCTGTCCATCCACACTCCCAGCTCCCTCATGGTTTGGTCTAGGCCTCTTCCCATCAATCAGGTGGAAACCAAGGAAGCATCTATATCCCAATATTCCATGCTATTCTTTAGGTAAGTAGGAATATAAATGGAAGCTGGAGGAAGTTAGTTGGCCAGATCTCTTCCGGCGAAGTTGGAGCTGGTCTTGCTCGTGTGGGAGTGAGGCCTGTGAGGCCTGCGAGGCCTGTGAGGCCTGTTGTTTTTCCAATTCCACAGGAATGATTTGGTAGAGTGGCTTTCATTTTCTTAAGGTAAGTATTAAGATTTTGGTTTGATAGTTCTTTATTGGTTGCATATATCTGGTTTTCTGGTTTTTGGGGGGTGTTGGGGGTTTCTTTCTTACATGTATATAATTTTTGCAATCGTACGTAAGCGCAAATACATATCAACGTGGGTAGAGCCCTCCCCAAATCTTCCTTCACGAAGCCTAGCCATGATGATGAGATATATATATATATATATATATATATATATATATATATATATATAT